AGCTGTGGGCGTGGGGGAGGGGAGGGACGGCTGGGGGGCCACGGCGGCGCGTGAGCTCGTGAGAAGGCGCAAAGGCGCTTCCTGCTGGTGGCGCGAGCCCAGGCACGGGCACTCCCGTCCCCTTGCTGAGGGGCTGCTTCATCGGGGGTCCACTGTCCCAGAAGAGACTCAGTGTAGCAGAGAAATCTCAGGGAGCTCGGAAAGACGAATAGGGTACCAACTGCGTATGTACCAAACCTCCATTAGCACCTGTGGCTTCTTAATGGAGACCCAGGGCCAGGGCCAGCCTCCTGGGGCCCCCTTCCATTCTGTGGCGGAAGGCTGTTTGGTCCCCCATTCCTGATGCCAGCCAAGTGAAAAATCAAAGAGACGTCCCTGTGTCAAACCATAGAATTCTGCTTCAAAAACACCTCTATCAACAGGCTGCATGCAGCCTTGGGCGGAAAACAGAAACAGTTTAACAGGGATAAACGTGAAGATTTAGGCAAATAAATACGAGGTTAGGCTTAATAATAGCCCTTCTGAAAAAGACTAGATTTTAGCAGACTAAAAGGCCAGCATGGCTGCTAAAAGAGTGAAAGAAGTGTGAGACTATGTTAACAGAAGTACGTGTGTGGTGGCGATTTGGGGGGTGGAGGGGGGGAGCAGTTACTCTCCATATTAACCAGATCGTATCTGGAATATTATTTTCAGTAATGAGTATCATATTTTGTGAGGGACGTTAACAGGCTTGAGCAACATCTGAAGAAGGGGCAAAGATGAGAACTGTTTATGATCCCACACTGTGCTGAGTACTATGGGGAATATAAAGATGAAAAGTGCACAATCCCAGGGAAGCAATAGAAGCTATGATATGCCTGCAAATATAGGCGGGAATTCAGTGCAGAAGGTGGCCTTGGCCTTGGCCATGAAGGATGGATATTAGTATTTGAAGGAGGAAAGGCTTTTGTGTTGATTCACAGTCTGTCGTGAGACCCAGTCAAAAGAAATCAAGAAATTGGAGGAAATATTGGAGAGGACAAGTTAGTTAACCATGAAAATTTTAAAGACTGTCATGGTGGAGAGGATGGTACCTCTGTGCCATTCCATGAGGCAAAACTAGGTTCACTCAACATGCCCCCTCTCACGCTCCCTACTCCAAGGGGAGATTTCTATTCTAATTAGAACTTTCTTATGCATCCTTCAAACCCAGGCTGGAATGCTGTGGCCAACCCTCAGCCTCCTAATGGTACTTCATTGCTCTGGGCTCAGAGCTCATTCTTTACACCCTGGGTCATAGCCCGTGCGCTCTGCCTGTATTAGAGCTGGTAAGGGACTGTGTTCCCCACCAGACTGTCAGTCTGTCGACTGTCAGACTCTCTGAAGACAGAGATAGGCTTTTCATCATATTTGCACCTTCCTTCAGTCCTCACCTTAGGGCCTTGCTCATTCAATTCTTGCAGAATCTAATTGAATTAGTAGGTAGAGTTGATCTACAAGACAATGGACTGTCCTGGAGGTATAGCAAGTCCCCCACTGTCAGGAATCTGATGAGATTCCTACACTGGGAGGGATTAGTCCTTTCCAACCGGGTTATTTATGATGTTAACGAACTTCTCTGCTCCCAACTCTTGCCTTTTCCCATCTCTCATTATTCACTTAGCAAACCTATTTAAGGAGGGTCTGCTCTTCCTGTGCCTTGGTTCCTGCCTCGAAGGAGCCTAGTCTAGTAGGGAGTGGCAGACGTGTAGACAGATTTGTGATACGGTGCTGCAGGTGCTAGAGTAATGTTTGGATAGCTGGAGTTGAAATCCTGGTTCTGCCCTTTACTAGTTGCATTTGATTTTGAACAACTATCTGTTAAATAAGAAAAATTCAACCAAGTACATTTTAAAGATCTAATTGGCTTTGTTAAGCAATTCACGTATTGGGCATCATGCTATCTAGTAAATAGAGAGGTGCTCTGAGAAGTTTTACAAAATGGAAGGTTTTTTATAGGCAGGAACTGGGCCGGGCAAGGAAGTTATTAGCAAAAGAAAAGGATGTTTCAGGCTGGGGCACCTTTTTGAGTTGGGGGAGGGCGGCAGGGGTCTTATCTGGCATATTACCTCCCCAGTGTGGATCAGGAAATTCCAGACTGAATTGTTTGAGGGCACATTCCTGGTGAAGGCTAAAAACTGCAATCTAGTCTTGGTTTCTTGTCCTAGAGGCAAGCGACTCTATCTTAGGCCTCTTTCTTTTTTCTTAACATATCTCAGTTTTCTTAACTGGAGTGTGTAAAATGCCTGTCTTAGGGTTCTGTGAGGCCAAAATGCACTATGGTAAGTAAAGTGTTTATCCTGTGTAGCATATTGCATAGGTTTTGGGAGTGGTGGCTATCATTTTACTACAGTGATGGTTAGGAGTTCTTTATATAGAGAGAGTAAGGACTGGTGTCATGAAAAGTTTCTGAGATAAGATGATTATTTCCTTGAGCAGGAGACTCGTTCTTTTATCAGTAAATATGGGCCGGATGCCTCCTGTGAGCAAAGCGCCACTGTGTGAGTCACAGTAGATACACGGAAGGAATCTGTCTAAGAAAGGAGGCAGCAATTAAACAGTTATATAATTATTGTTGTGATAAGTGTTTGTAAGAAAAAGTCCAGTATGCATTGAGTGTCTGCGTAACTTGGAGGTCTGACCTAGTCTAGGAATTTGAAGTTTCTGGGAGAAAGTCAGGTTTGAACAGAATCTTCAAAGATAAACGGGAGTAGGCAGAGGTAAAGGGCAAGGAGAGAGCATTCCAGACAGAGGGAGTAGCACCTTCAAAGACTTGGGGTGAACTGGGGAGAACCCAGTGACATGAGGCCAGAGGGAGGCAGGGGCTGGATGGGGCAAGAGGTCCTCCTGGGCTGTGGAGAGGTGTTGTGCCATTTTTGTTTTGTTTCCTTTTTAATCTTAACAGAAATAGGAAAGCACAGAACGTTTCAGAGTAGGAGACTGACAGAATCAGGGTTTTAGAAAGAACATTCGGGCTTCTGGCATGGAGACTGGCATGGCGGTCGGACCTCTGTCCAAATGAAAAAATACATTTTACTTCAGGGCCGGGTGTACATAGTTTTCACAGAACAGTATGTGTCCTTGGTACAATACGTAGCCTCACTCCTTGCCCTCTGATATTTTTTATTCCATTTTACTTTAATTTTATAAACATTCTAGTCTTGACCCACTAATCAGAGTTGCAACCCAAGATTTGTAAAACAAAGATCGCTTCCAAATCTGATACTGTGTTCTGAGATACCATTCCTCTAGCCGATAGCTGATAGTCTTTCCTGAAGTGGATCTGAAAAGATTACTCATCTTTCACCCAGCAAACCACAGAGGCCCAGGGCAAGCATCACAGACCAAGAATGTCCACAGCTGCAGCCAAATCTGGACAGGAGTGCAGTGGTACAAGTAGCTGAGAATGACTGAGATTCCATTAAAGGTGGTTTGACCAGAGGCCCCATGTGGAGTGAGGACCTGTGCCTCAGTTTCTTCTTTTCTAAAATGGAATGATAATAGTCGCTACCTCAAAGGATTGTTATGAGGATTAAATGAGATAATGTGTGTAGATACTTAGAACAGCACACAGTAAGTGCTCAATAAATATTTTCTGTTGTTGGTGGTGATATTATTGTGTTTGCATTCTCATTGTAAATGTAGAGGATCCAAGTGTGCCATATTAAAGCATTAGACTTAACTTGTAGACTGGAGTCATAAACTGGGGGACTTGATCTGATTTGTGTTTAATGATAATCCCTGTCCATTTAAGAGATGGACCAAAAGGGGGCTGTGAAAGAGGAACCACTCCTAGGGCTTAGAAAAAATGTCATGCTCAGGCAGCTCACGGAAAAAATGTAAATGACTAATAAACAGAAGGACAGTTCCTCAGCTGTGTAATGATCAGGGAAATGCAGATTTAAACGAAATGCCGTTTTTTGCTTGTTGGGTTGTCAGAAATTTTAAAAGATTGCAGTTTTCTGGTGTTAGGGGCTGGAGAAAGGGTATTCTCAAATTCTCGTTAGTGAGAATGTAAGTTTGTACAACTCGTTTAGAGGACAATTTGGCAGAACTTATCAAAGTTGTAAAGGTTCATCCTCTTTGATTCAGAAGTTCTGCTTCAAGGGATTGATTGTCTCATAAAACTCACCGACTAGTACAAGTTTTTGTGCAAGGATGGTTATTGTAGTATTTGAAATAACCAAAAACTGTAGGCAGTGCATTCACACTGTGCTATTCTGTGCAGCCACCGAAAGAGCAAGGTGGCTTGGTAAAATGTCATGGAAGGATGTCTGTGGTGGTGAAAGAAGTCTGTTGCAGAGTAACGCAAAAAAATATGTATGCTTAAACATGTTTTTATGTGCATAGAAAGA